ATAATAATTAAATAATTAATACTATAGTAAAGCGGAATCTGTCTTAAGATTGTTGTCCAAAGTATGGTTTAAGTATACCATATAGTACTATTTATTTAAATATTATGTAAAAATATAATGTTTATATATATATAATATTATTATAAAATAATAATCTATATATATAATTACATATAATATATAGTTTAATATAATAAAATAAAAAACTATAAATAAAGGAACCTGATTAAAAGTCGAGGCTAAAATTTGATTCTATGTTCTTAAAACAGATTCGCCCTGCTATGGTGCTAATGAACTCAATGGCATCTATCTCCCAAGATACAACGACTTGTCTTTCTTCGATAGTAGCACTGCAAACCAAAGGAATAGGCGAACCGGCTTGGTGTAGTACTCTATGACTCGAAGTCGGACTCGAACTCACTGACTAAGGCTCGAACCCACAAACTAGAGCTCGAACCAACAGACAATTATAGAAGGAGAAAGAAGGAAAAAGATAATTCAGAAAGAGAAAAATGATTTTCTGAATTGGTGTGTTAGCAAATGACTCCAAAGGGGGGTATTTATAGGAAGCAAAGTGCCTTTTCGGGTATGAGTGCAACCATGGGTCATGTTGGTTCAGCACCAGTTGTAACCCTTTAGAAACAGATGCAACTTTTTGGAAAACAGATGCAACCCTTTAGAAAAAGATGCAACCCTTTAAAAAAAAAAAAAAAAAAAAAAAAAAAAAAACTAACTTTTAATTTAAATTCAAAAACCAACCACCCATTTAAATAAGCCCAGCCCAAAAATAAAGACCCAATCCAAAATTCCATTTAGTAAAAAGAATAATTGGACTTTACAATTAGGCCTAAGCCCAAGCCCAAGTCCCAAATTTGGCTTATTTAAATTTCAATTGGTTTCAACATTTTTTTCATGTGGGATAAACACTTCCCACATTTTGCATACCCATTTAGGCTTATCAAAACACCACACTTTGGAGCTAATTTCTCATTCACCCAGAAACGGATTTGAGAAAGTAAATATATCACGTTCATCTCCTTGTGGAGAGAAACACGCTTGTCTAGAGATCCATAAAAAATTCTTAGCGGAATCTATTCCAAATCTCATCCAAAGTTTTTGTTTTTAATGCCCCCGTTTCCAACAGTTATTGCATGATCGAATTTGCTAATGAAATCATTCTGACTTTCAGATTGTCTTTTATCCTTATTTTGCCTTTGTTTTGCTATTTTTCATCCTTGTGGTCGCTGACATTCTTCAACATCTGTCGGATCATTTTTGCCTATGTGTGCCGATCCTTCAATCGAACTTGGTGTTGTTGTTGCATTACTTTATGGAGTAGATGGATTTGAGTGACCAATAGGCTTACTATCATCAATGTAGATTCCACTCCTCTTCTTCGATTGTTTTTTTTTTTAAGATATCAATTCTTTTTGACAATGTAAATGCCATTTATTGTTGTTCTTCAAAATATTTCAACAATTGTCAAACTTAAATTTGGTGTTATTTTGACGAGCGAACATCTCTTTGGCTGCTATCATCTAAAAAAATAAAAATCAATAATTATTAGAAGACAAATCTTTAAAATATCTACCAATTAAATTTAATATAATAAATAACTTACCTTTTACTCCTTGTCTTGCCCACTTTTAATCTGGCCATGCATCCATAAAATTTGGTAATCATTTGTTGCATGAAGCACTAACGATTCAAGCAGACGATATGATTTCGTTTAGGTGTACTAGCACAACTAACGTGATGCTCAAAATTTTCTTGAATTCGGATCCATAATGCTGTCTTTTGTTAGGTCTGAACCGATAATCGCATCAATACTAATGGCCATCCACGCATAACATAAAGCCTCATCTTCAACCGTGGACCAATCAGGAGGCCGAATAGCCCTTTGCTTTCGGGGAGGTTGGGAGTTACTGAATTGTGGCACTTCAATAGGAATTTTGGAAACTTGAGAAGGTTGATGAGACGGAAATTGAGATTCTTCTCCAACAAATAAGAAGGGATCAAAATTATCATTTGATTGGTTGAATTGGGAGTTGTAGTTGTAATATGGTGCTGGAGTATCCATGTAATTGAACTTGAGTAAAAAATATAACTAAAAGATTGAGAAAATGACTTAATGGTTGTAGTTGTAGGTTGAAGACAAGAGAAGATGGGTTAGATATAAGGTGAATAATACTAGGCGTTGATGTATTTATAAAGGAAAAATGAAAGGTTCTTTTTTTTAAAAATAAATAAATATATAATAATTTTTTAAAAAAATAAATTCAAAAAATAGGTTTTTGTGCCAATATAACCGTTAAGGCACTGTTTGGGTTAGCCAAATAGTGCCTAAAATAGCTATATGTCAGAAGGAATATTTTAAAAAGTAAATTTTTCAAAAAAAAAAAGCACTTTTCTCTATTTTTTAAAAACTATTTTTTGTCCAAAAAAGCCTTTAAGGCACTATTTGTGTCAGCCAAACAGTGCCTTAACGTCTCTTTGGTTCAATTATTTTGAGGAACAAAAAAAGAGACTAAAACAAGCCAAAAATTAGTTTTTTCTCTTTTCTTTTTTTTTTTTTTTTTTTTTTTTTTTTTTTTTTTTTCCAGGCAAACAGAACCTTAGGAATAGTGTTCTAGGCTAAAACACTGTTCTTGGCCAGAATAAAAAAATAAAATAAAACAAAACAGATACGGGCCCACATGGCAGCCTGCTGCTTACCAAGAGGGTCGCGTTTTTCAGCGACCCATTGGGTGGGGCCCAATTTTTGGCGAGGCCGTTAGAGGATTCCAATAGCGGAATTTGGCCCAGAGTCACCTTAAAGGCCTGCGTTGGAGTTACTTTAAGAATAATTTTTATTTTTAAAAAATTAAAAATAAAAAATTGTATAAAGTTTTATTCAGTTTTATGAAAACTAAGTTATAGAAAGATCTATTTTTAGAAAATTGTCTTTTATTATTCTCTGAAAATTATTTTCTATTCTCTAAATTCTTCAGAACTATTTTTTAGAGTTACAAACCAAGCATGCACATACTCTCTAAGAACAATTTTATATTTTTTGAGTTCTTGAGAACTGTTTTAAGAGTTGCAAATTAAGCAAGTCCTATACCATTTTATAACTGTGGAGGGAAAAATCTCCCTTCAATGAGAACTGTACACGTCATCGCAATATAAATATCCATCACAAATGTCAGAGGCCCATCCTGCTCAAAGCCCAGTCTAAGCTCGTTGACAGCCCAAAATCATAAGACACAAGCCCAAGGTCACAGCTAATTGATCTCTGTAGCATTGCTCAAGCCCGAAACAAGAGATCCAGCCCGTTATCAATGTCACATGGATTAAGTTACTTACAACCCAAATCCACTGAAAGGAAATTAGTCCTATTAGAAGAAAGATATAGCAAAGAAAGAAACTACTGCACAAGAAAAATTATACAAAGGAAGGAGCTCTATTTGTAAAGAATTTCTGTAGGCAAAGAATTGGAGGACAAGCAATGCGAGTCCTACCATAATTCAACTAATCTTTTGTGTATAAATAGAGGCTCAGACCTCCAATAAAAAAGAAAAATCAATTCTACGCTTCTCTATACACTGTTTTTATTTACTCTTATTATTTTTTGAGTGAGTTGTTTTATTTTTCTCAATCATTATTGGTTGAGCGAAATTTTGCACCTACACTTTGGCGCCGTCTGTGGGAACTCGTATGCAAATATATCCCCACTCTTGTTTTTGTTTCACAGGTGAATCCTGCAACTACCATCCAGAATGTCGAACGGAGGATCTTCAACGGATCAACAGACGGAACTGATGCAGAAGATGCGTGAAGAGTTTCTACACCAGTTTGACGTACTTCGTCAGGTAAACGAAGCAAGCGTGGCTCAGATCGCCTTGCTTCAACAGCAGAATAACACTCTGCAAACGGCGTTGGCTCAGTTGGCACCACCGCCACCAGTGGGTGACATAGCAGCACCCCCTAGTCAGAATGTTCCTCCGATTACCGGACTTCCGCCTGATGGGGCTCCACCTAATATGGCACGACCCAATGAGGCTCAGCCGAATGAGGTTCAGCAACAACGGAGGGCAAGATCCAAGGCTGCGGCTTCAGATAACGTCCCTCGTCGCACACAGGATGAGCAAGTCGAATCCAGCCATAAGCTTACGGTGTGGTCCAATGGAATCCCAGATGGTGCTGGTGTTCAGGATGCCTTCGACGAGAAGAGACCCCTGAAGATTCAGACACCTGCCGAGATGGCTAGAGAACACAAAAATTCCTTGGTCAAAACTCCTTTCACTGATGATGTGTATCTAGTTGAGAGGCCCAAGAAATTTACCATGCCTTCTTTCACCCAGTTTGATGGAACAGGGGATCCTTCTCGGCACCTAGATCATTACGCTCAAAAGATGGCTTTGGATGATCGTAATGACCCTTGGATGTGCAGAGTTTTTCCTACCAGTTTGACAAGAGCAGCACTAGAGTGGTTCAGGAATAGACCGCATAAGTCCATCCTGGATTACGTAACTCTATGCACCATATTCCTGGCACAGTATTGCGGAAATAAAAAGCAAAAGAAGAGCATTGCCAGCCTCTTCACCGTAAGGCAAAAAAGGGGGGAAACATTGTAGGATTTCTTGTCAAGATTAAATATGGAAGCCTCAGAAATAGCGGATTGTCATCCCGCAACTGTTATAGAGACATTTAAACTCACGATGATTCAGGGGACGAAGTTCCACACTTCCTTAGTCAAGTATTCTCCTCCCGACATGCAGACTCTCAATGCCAGGGCCCAGATCTACATTCAGCTTGAGGAAAATATAGCCCACCGAGCGCAACACATCACCCTCGTGACAGTGGAAAACAAGCTTCGAGAAAGAATTCCAACTCTAAAGATTCAAAAAAGCCAACATTCCTCAACGCCAATCACCCAGGCACCTGAAAAAAGGCAAAGGGTAGAGGAAGGATTTACACCTCTCTAAACTACCTTGGCTCGGCTCTCCCAAGAGAATAAGATGAAGTTCACAACTCCGCAGCCAATAAAGCAACCCCTGGAGCAAAGGGACAAAAGCAAGCATTGCGCTTATCATCGAGACTATGGGCATTCAACCAATGATTGCAGATCCCTCAGGCGACAGGTGGAGAATATGATCACTAGAGGTGAGTTGACGGATTACCTCATGACAAAGGAGTATGCAAAGCCCCGCGAGGTCTATCCCCGCAAGGTGGAAGGTACGCAAGTAAAAGTCATCCATGCAATACATGGCAGGTCTGAAGATGATCAAGAGTCCGAGGAGGTATACAGATCCAGACTGAGGGCAACCCATAAGCTTAGGAAGATATCCTCGGTCAACGCTATCGCTTCGGGTAGCATCAGTATTGGATTCGGAGATGGCGACCTATCCAGAGTTCAACTCCCCCACGAGGATCCATTGGTCATCAGTCTTTTAGTGGCTAATTGTATGATCAGGAGGGTTTTGGTAGATCCAGGAAGTAACGCCAACATAATCACAAATACGGTCTTTGAGCAGTTAGAGATCCTGTCATCATCTATTCGACCTACCTCCAGCTCGTTGATGGGATTCGATGGCACAAGAGTAGATCCCCTTGGAGTAATAGACTTATCCGTAACCGCGGCGAAGAGGACTCTAAAGGAGAACTTTGTTTTAACAGAGATCCATCCTTCTTACAATCTCATCATGGGAAGAGGCTGGATACATCGGACGAGAAGAGTTCTGTCCACCCTTCACCAGGTGATGCGGTGCTTATCTCCGGACGGGAAAGAAGTAATTAATCTGTGGGGCGATCAAGTCGCAGCGAAGGAATGCTATATGTTGACACAAGTTGAAGCAAAGAGGGTGTCGACTCAACAGCAACCAGGTGTGGCTTCCAAAACTGGACCCAAATAGCAATTACAGAGCCCTCTGCCCAAGTATCTTAAGGTAGAAGAGGAAGAGGAAATTGCGAAGCCCACCGAGGAGACCCTTGAAGCCGTGGAAGTTTTCCTCAGCAACCCTCAGAAGGTTACTTATCTAGGCTTTTCCTCCGCGTCTGAAGAAAAGGAAGCGTTAATTGATGTTATCCAGAGCAATGCAGATGCTTTTGCGTAGGATCACTCGGACATGGTAGGGATCGATCCCTTAGTTTCCTGCCATAGTTTAAAGGTGGATCCGGAGTTCAAACCGGTTAAGCAGAAACACCGAAGGTTTGCCCCCGAACGCAATCACATTATAGCTGAAGAAGTGAGCAAATTGTTGCAAGCAGGTTTCATTCAAGAAGTGCAATATCCCCAGTGGTTGTCAAACATGGTAGTCGTACAAAAGAAGAATGGAAAGTGGAGGGTTTGTGTAGACTATACCAACCTTAACAAAGCCTGCCTAAAGATAGCTTCCCTCTGCCCAAGATAGATCAGATGGTTGATGCTACCACCGGCTACTAGAGGCTGACATTCCTTGATGCATACTCGGGATACAATCAAATTCCTATGAACCCCGAAGATGAAGAAAAAACGGCTTTCATTACAGAAAAGGGGACTTATTGTTACAGAGTCATGCCCTTCAGACTGAAGAATGCTGGAGCTACTTATCAATGTCTTGTTAACAAGATATTTGATAATCTATTGGGAAAGACAGTTGTAGCATATATAGATGACATAGTGGTTAAAAGTGTGAAGAAAGAAGATCATCCGAAGCATCTACAGGAAGTTTTCAATACCTTGAAGAAGTACAACATGAAGCTGAATCCATCCAAGTGCTCCTTCGTGGTATCATCAGGTCAATTCCTCGGCCACATAGTGAATAAAAGGGGGATAGAGGTAAGTCCGACTCAGGCTAAGGCCCTCATCCAGAATCAGGAACCAAAAAATCGCAGGGAGGTGCAGGTTCTTACCGGTCGGATCACAGCCCTCAGCCGATTTATACCCCGATTGTCAAATAAGTGCAAACTATTCTTCGATGCTATACGATCTAAGAATAAAGATATATAGGGACCTCAGCAGCAGGAGGTCTTCAGTCAGTTGAAAGGTTACATGGCCGAACCACCAATTCTATCCGCTCCAAAACCCGGGGAGGTTCTTATTATGTATTTGGCAATTTCTAATATAGCGACAAGTGCAGCATTGATTAGAAAGGAAGGAAAGAGGCAATATCCAGTCTTCTACACAAGTAAGACCATGACAGTTGCGGAGACACGATATAACAAAGCAGAAAAAGTCATCTTAGCCTTGGTCTATGCCAAGAGAAAGCTTCGGCATTATTTTGAATCTCATAACATTGTGGTACTCACCAACTATCCTATACGGGGTATACTCTCTAAGCCCAATCTATCTGGGAGAATTACCAGGTGGGCTATCGAGCTTAGTTCCTTCGACATAACTTATGAGCCAAAGGTGTCGCACAAAGGGTAGGCCGTAGCAGACTTTCTTCTCGAATATGAAGACACTCCCGAAGAGCCGGTACACCCTGAACCACAGTGGGAACTTCGAGTCGATGGCTCCTTAAATCAAGCAAGTGCAGGGGTAGGAGTTGTAATGTTAACACCCGAAGGCACCAAGTTGCAGCAATCTATTTGTTTGAAGTTCCCGGCTACAAACAATGAGGCCGAGTACGAGGCGTTACTTGCTAGTCTTCGATTGGCCAGCAGCCTCCAGGTACGTTGTTTAAAGGTTTTTAGTGACTTACAACTTGTTATAAATCAAGTGACAGGTCAGTACCATCCCAAAGAGAAAAGAATGAAAGCATATAAAGAAGCTGTAGAGAACGCTGCACGGAGATTCGATCAGATCGAATTCTATCAGGTACCTCGTGTTGAGAATGCCGAAGCAGATCAATTGGCCACATCAAGGTCATCCTCAAATGAAGATCTGACTCGGATTGTGCCGATTGATGTCCTGGACGAGCCCAGCACTAATCCTCCGTAGGAAGTAATGGTGATTCCAGTTGTTCCTCGAGAACTGTGTTGGATTGATCCATTGGAAGCCTACCTCAAGCATGGAGTTCTTCCAAACCAGAAGTCCGAAGCACGGAAGCTCCGTCTCACCGCAGCTAAATATGCCATCATTAACAATCAGTTATACCGAAAGTCATTTTCAGGTCCTTACCTGAAATGTTTAAGCCCTACTGAGGCTCTTGTGGTGTTAAAACAAATCCATGATGGAGATTGTGGCAACCATTCTGGAGGTAGATCCCTTGCGCATGAAGTTCTGACTCAAGGTTACTTCTGACCGTACTTGGCCCGGAATACAGAAAAGTATACTCGGAGGTGTGACAAATGTCAACATCACGGTCCCATGAAGCATCAACCTGCTGAAGATTTGCATGTAATGGCAAATCCATGGCCATTCGCACAATGGGGGATTGATATGGTGGGTCCGTTACCCAAGACTGTGGAACAAAAGGAGTACGTGCTACTGGCTACCGATTATTTCACTAAATAGGTAGAAGCCGAGGCCTACTCAAGTGTGACCCATGAGCAGGTAAAAACTTTCCTTTGGAACAACATCATTTACCGGTCTGGGGTCCCAAAAGTCATTATGATGGACAATGGTAAGAACCTTGATAATAGAAGTACAAGAAAATTCTTCGCTGAGCATGGAATTATACAAAAGTTAGCTACAGTTAGTCATCCATAAGGGAATGAACAGGCTGAAATAACTATCAGTTGTTTAAAGAAGAAACTGGAGAAACTCAAAATGAAATGGTACAAGAATCTCCCTCAGGTGCTTTGGGCGTATCGAACCACACCACGGCGGCCCACGGGGAAGAGTCCATTTGCATTGGCTTATGGATCCGAAGCGGCGGTTCCAGCCCTTCGGACATCCTTGTTGCTTGAAGGAGACAATAGTCAGCAGCTCAAACATAGTCTTGACCTCCTCGATGAAAAAAGGGATGATGCAGCAATTAAGCTTGCTTCATATCAGCAGCAGCTGTGCAACAGTTATAACAAACGTGTTAGATTCCGGAGCTTTGCGGTAGGCGATTGGGTTCTGAAGTAAGAGAAAGCTTATGTAAAGAAACTGGAACCTAATTGGACTGGACCCTACAGGATTACCGAAGTAATGGGGAAGGGAGCATATCATTTGGCCGAAACTGACGGACGTCCCATTGTGCATCCTTGGAGTGCAATACACCTTAAACGGTATTTTCATTAGATAAGTTTGTCAATTTTATTAAGAATTCTTCACAAATAAGGCTGCGTAAGCCCACAGTTAGCCATGTTTTTTTTTATTTTGCTTCTATTTGTTTCTTTCCATAAAAATGGGGGCCATACCACCATTTTATGATCATGCAATTTTTATGCAAAGAAAGAAATTTGAAATTTTCAAATTTTATGCAAAGAAATTTTCATACTACACTATGATTATGCAATTTTTATGCTTTTATGCAAAGCAATGTTAGAAGCAAGTTATTAAAAAGCATGCGTTTTGACCTATGGTTAAAACTCTTTGTCCTACATCGGATAAACATATAAAGGAAATGTGGTCAATATATACGTAGTCCATTACATATGGTTGCCAAGAAGGGAGTATCAATGGAGGAAAGTCTCCAAAGTAAACAAATAGGAAACTTCCCAGCCATTGTTACTCGTTTTCTTGGCCTCCTATCATTTTTGAGTCCTCGGCAAGTTGTTTAAAAAAAAAAAAACGACGAAGAAAAGAATATATATATGAAAACTACCCTCAGGCTCATCGCCGGGGAGTAATTCATTCACCTCAGACCCTAAGTGTCCGGCTCGGCAAAATCTCGTTTCGGACCCTAAGTGTCCGGCTCGGCAAAATCTCGCCTCGGACCCTAAGTGTCCGGCTCGGCAAAATCTCGCGTCGGACCCTAAGTGTTCGGCTCGGCAAAATCTCGCCTCGGACCCTAAGTGTTCGGCTCGGCAAAATCTCGCCTCGGACCCTAAGTGTCCGGCTTGGAAAACTCCCTCAGGCTCAGCACCAGGGAGTCCCTCAGGCCCAGCGCCAGGGAGTAATCCATTCGCCTTAGACACTGAGTGTTCGGCTCGGAAAACCTCTTATTTATTTTGCTTCGGTCCAAAACAAATAAGGAACCTTCAGGCAAAGTACCTTCTTTTAAAATAATAATAATAATAATAATAATAATAATAATAATAATAATAATCTCTCAACAGAGTGTGTGCAATATCAGAAGCATACAAGCATACTCAATCGAAGCAGAATAAAAGAAACACAACTTAAGAAACAAGGTTATATTATTCAAATTTATCATTCTCAAAATTGTTTCATTACAAGGGAAAAAAAGGGAAAAAAAATAAATTTGCTTGATCTTACTTCTTCTTCGGATCAAATGGGGCAGATTCGAAAGCGTCTACTACAGCTGGACTTGCAGGTGGAGGGATTGAAGGACCAGGAGTTACAGGAGTTGATGAGCTTGGAGGATCTTCCGGGTGAGCCTTCACCATTTCAGCAAAAAGCACCTCAGCCTCCTGAGCCTTCGGACCCTCATTATAAGGGAAGGACACCCCCATGTTCACATCAAAGGCATCAGGATCCATCGTTTTGGGGCCTGAGCCTTGATTGAAGCCGGACCGATAGGCTTTTGCACTTGACAAGCGCACCAGACTAGAGTAACGACCTTGTATCTGCCTTCCGGCAATGATGCAAGTGCTAAGGGCATCATTCAAACGCTGGATTTCAGCCTCCAGCGACTCAACTTTTGCATCAGAAGCAGCCAGATGCTTCTTGTAAACATCCCGAGCCTCATATGCAATTTGTGCATTGGCAATGGCATGGGATGCCTTCTTCTCAGAGTTGCTGAGGTCTTTCTCCAGCTTCTTAAGAGAAATAGACTGAGCCTCAGTAGTAACACAGAGGGCCATAGTATGATACAAGCCCTGCGTCATGAGATAATAACAATGTAAGAAAATTTGTAAGACAATTATGACAATGGAAATGAAGGAAGGAGCAAACCTCTACGGCACGAACAGGGGCAGATGGGAGTAGCTATTCCAACCCCATTCTGCTGATAATTTCTTCATCCATGGGGAGCTACATTCCCCGAGCGACGGCAAGTGCTGTAGATGGGTCAGTGATCATAGAATCACCAACATGAAGGATGGACTTGTCAGCCCTCGAGAAGGAAGGAGTCCAAGG